TATATATATATATAATCAACTGTGCTCACTGGGTGTGTGTGCAGACTCCGAAGGGGTTCTTTCAGCCCAAGAGCTATCATAAATTAGTAAAACCCGCTGCGGCATGCAGCCCGATCCCATAAGTGTCACTCATAATCATTCCCTCGTCCTCACACAGTCATCAATCTCTCCATTTTCTCTCCATCAGGCTCATAATGTCATGAAACTAGTCCGAAAATGATGATATGCTGCATCAATAAATAACAATAGAGTCTGAGATATGATATGTAATGAATGAATATGAGTCAGTACGAAATTTAAATGAAATCAATAAGTCAACAGCAAGAAATGACCATTATGGGTCCCAACAGTACTAGCATAGAGCCTAAATATGATCTCTAATGGCAGCTCAATTACTTTAGTACGTAGAGATTTTATGGTTACAGATAAGATCAGGTAACTACAAAGTACCACGAAAATAACAGAGTCGTAAATTACACGGTGCATGCCCACACGACCGTCACCTAGCACGTGGGTCACCTTAACACCAAACACATAACACGTAATTCGGGGTTTCATACACTCAACACCAAGTTTAGAAGTGTTACTTACCTCGAGCAAGCATATTCCCATACCGAGCAAGCCAAGCGATGCTCTAAAATGCCATCACGTGCGTACCGACATCAAAACGGCTCAAAACTAGCCAGAAGCAACTCAAGTACATCAAATAATACCAAATGAAACAAACCCAATCGATGAAGATCGAATCTTTAATCAAAAGCCCAAAATCGGCCAAAAAGTCAAAACCCAGGCTCGCACCTCGGAACCCGATGAAACATACAAAATTCGACAACCCATTCCATTACGTGTCCGACCATACTATTTTCACTCAAATCCGACTCCGAACCGATGATCAAAACTCAAAAAATTCACTTTATGAAATTTTACGCTAGAACTCCAAATTTCCTCTTTAAAAATCATCATCCAATTGCCAAAAATGAAGATAGATTCATGAAATAAGATCAAAACCAAGAATGGAATACTCAACCTAATCCTTGTGATGAAAATTGCTCCAAAAATCCCCCCAATTCGAGCTCCATAGCTCCAAAAATGCAAAAATGCCGAAACCCCCAAAATAGAGTACTTTATACTTCTGCCTAGGCATTGTCACATCTGCAACACACTTAGCCGCTTCTACGACGTCACTTTTGCGACAAACGTTCCACTTCTGCGGAGAGGCACTGAAGAAATGGACCTCCCACCTGTGGAAAAATGTCCGCTCCTGCGCTCAAATTTCGCATCTGCGCACACGCAGGTGCGCTACAAAAATCCGCTTTTGCGGTATTTCCCACCCAGCTCTAACCTCGCATCCGCAATGACACTACCGCTTTTGTGGCTCCGCACCTGCGCCCATGGCTCTGCAAGTGCGGTTACACCAGAACCGCTGCCAAACCAGCCTTAGCCAAAATTTCCAAAATGCTCCAAACCTCGTCCGAAACTCACCTGAGCCCCTTAGGACCCCGTCCAAATATACCAACAAGTCCCATAACATAACACGTACCTACTCGAGGTCTAAAATCACACCTAACAACATCAAAACGATGAATCGAACTTGATGAACTTTAAACTTTCAACTTCGATAACACGTGCCGAAAAATAGCGAACCAACCCGGATTGAATCCAAAATTTGCACACAAGTCCCAAATGACATAATGAAGCTATTCCAATTCCCGAAACCATAATTCAAACCCGATATCATCAAAGTCAACTCTGGGTCAAACTTATGAATTTTCTAAACCTTCAAATTTTCGATTTTCGCCAATTAGTGCCGAATTCTTCTAGGAACATCTAAATGCAAATTCAGGCATACACCTGAGTCTAAAATCACCATCTATACCTAACAAAACCATCAAAACTCCAATCCGAGATCAAATGCTAAAAATCCAAACTTGATCAACTCTTCCAACTTAAAGCTTAAACCATGAAATTCATTCTTCCGAATCGACTCTAAATAATCTGAAAACCAAAATCGACGATTCACATAAGTCATAATACATCATATGAAGCTACTCATGCCCATAAACTACCGAGCAAAGTGCAAATGCTCAAAATAACCGGTCGGGTCGTTACAGTTTGTGAAAGGCTAAGAATAATATTGTGACTGCGCATTTGGGTAGTAGCAGAGGCAGCTCAATGGATCTCGTGACCTAAGACGAAACCATATTTAGAGGCCATTTAATTTATTGTATATAATATTTACACTATTAACAAAATTTACTTTCTAAACAATAAATTAATCATTTAAGACAAAAATAAGCGAATTTCAAAATAAAGGAAGAAAAACACAATAAGTGTTGGACTATCAGATGTTGAGGTCCACAAATTTTGATTTGGCTATCATCACAAACAAGAAAAAGAAATCAACGTACATAATGTAAAAGCTTATGTTTTGAGCATTAACGGTGTCAAAAATATTTAATCCTTTTGATCAATTTAACGATAATTGTAGTTCATTCTATTAAGTAGTACTTATTGGTGAATATCTAAAATAAATTATAAATAACCTAATATAATATATCTAATTACACTAAAAGAAAATAGGTGCATGAATGCTTTTACGTTCATGTAGTTTGAGATAACATTGTAAAAGAAATTTGTTATGTTGTCGATATATAACTTAATCCCTATATAAAAAGGATAAAATTAAAATTGAAAATTGAAGAAATTATACTAACTAATCAGTAAAGAAATTTATCATAATTTGTGAACTTATTGATATAAAATAACTTCAATCATATAATAAAAAAATATACCGTAACACTTTCTTATACTAATTACAACAACAACAACAACAAACCCAGTTTGATCCCAACAGGTGGGGTCTGGGGATGGTAGTCTATATGCATACCTTACCCCTACCTAATGGAGGTAGAAAGCATGTTTTCAATAGACCCTCGGCTTAGTAAGGGCAAGAAGAAGAAGAGGAAAGCAAGGAAGGAAGAAAGATGGAAAAGAAAAGAAAAGGGAGAGATAAAGGATAAGTAGTACCAAATAATAGCAACAGAGAATATAATACTTGAGGCGAACAAAACCACATAACATAATAAAAATCTAAGAATATGAAGGGACATGCATGCTATTAATACTATTTGTGAACAACTATAAACTACCTACTAACCTTCTACCTTAATCCTCGACCTCCACACCCTCCTATCCAGGGTCATGTCCTCAGTGAGCTGAAGCAGCACCATGTCCTGCCTAATCACCTCTCCCAGTACTTCTTAGGCCTACCTCGACCTCTTCTAAAACTCTCCATGGCCAACCTCTCACACCTCCTGACAGGAGCATCAATGTTTCTTCTCTTAATATGTCCGAACCATCTCAGCCTCGACTCCCGCATCTTGTCCTCCACGGAGGTTACTCCCACTCTGTCCCGGATAGCATCATTCTTAATCCTATTTCTCCTGGTATACCCACACATCCTCATCTCTGCTACTCTCATCTTCTGCACGTGGGAATTCTTGACTGGCCAACACTCAGCCCCATACAACATAGCCGGTCGAACCACCACTCGATAAAACTTAACCTTAAGTCTTAGCGGCACATTCCTATCACATAAAACATCGGAAGAGAGCCTCCACTTCATCCATCCCGCTCCGATGCAATGTGAGACATCTTCGTCAAGCTCTCCATTACCCTGGATAATAGACCCGAGATACTTAAAACTCGCTCTTTTGGGGATAACTTGAGCATCAATCTTAAACTCTATGTCTGCATCATAGGTACCGTCACTGAATTTGCACTCCAAGTATTTTGTCTTTGTTCTACTCAGTTTGAAGCCTTTTGACTCCAAGGTCTATCTCCAAACCTCCAACCTCGTGTTAACTCCGCTACGTGTCTCGTCAATCAACAATATATCATCGGAAAATAGCATGCACCAAGGCACCTCCCATTGGATGTGACGCGACAGTACATCCATCGCCAAGGCAAATAAACATGGGCTAAGAACTGATCCCTGGTGCAACCCCATCACCACAGGGAAATGCTCTGAGTAACCACCCACAGTCCTCACCCGAGTCTTAGCATCATCATACATATCCTTAATCACCCTAATGTACGCTGCCGGAACGCCGCTAACCTCCAAACACCTCCACAAGACCTCCCTCGGAACTTTATCGTCTGCCTTCTCAAGGTCAATAAACATCATATGCAAATCCTTCTTCCTCTCCCTGTATTGCTCCACTAATCTCCTTACCAAATGAATCGGTTCCGTAGTCGAACGCCCCAGCATGAATCCAAACTGATTCTCGGATATAGACATGCACCTCCTCACCCTGGCCTCCACCACCCTCTCCCAAACCTTTATAGTGTGACTCAATAACTTGATACCCCTATAATTGTTGCAAATTTGGATATCACCCTTGTTCTTGTAAAACGGAACCATCATACTCCACCTCCATTCTTCGGGCATCTTCTTTGTCTTACAACTAATATTAAACAGCCCTATGAGCCACTCCAAACCTTCCCGCCCTGCGCTTTTTTAGAATTCCATCGGGATTTCTTCTGGCCCCGTCGCACTGCCCCTGCACATCTTACGCATCGCCCCTTCTACATCCTCTACCATAATCCGCCTAGAGTACCCAAAATTCCGCCGACTCTTGGAGTGATCCAACTCACCCAGCACAATGTGTCTATCCCTATCCTCATTCAACACTTTTCCATCCTCTCTCTCACCTTGGCCAACCGGTACAATCTCTTGTCCCTTCCTTTGCCCTCGAGCTCCTCGTACAAATGAGCAAATGTCGCGTTCTTAGCCGTCGTAACTGCTAACTTTGCCTCTTTCTTTGCCTTTTTGTAACACTCCCAATAAGTCTTTTTTTCCTCCACATTTGTACTCTCTACTAGCTTCAAATAAGCAACTTTCTTAGCTTTCACTTTATCTTGAACCTCTCCATTCCACCACCAGTCCCCTTTATGACTCCCAGGAGAGCCCTTTGTGACCCCTAAGACCTCTCTAGTAGCTACCCTAATGCAATCCGCAGTCTTGAACCACATATTAGACGCGCCCCCCATACTCATCCAGGCCCTCATAGCCAACAACTTCTCCCCTAACTCCTGAGCTTTGTCCTTGGTCAAATTAACCCACTTGATCATAGGTTTCTTGCACCCTGTCCTCTTCCTCCTACTCCTCTTGATCTCCAGGTCCATAACTAGGAGCCTATGTAGAGTCGTGAGGTGCTCACTTGGGATGACCTTGCAGTCAGTGCACAGACCTTTATCGCATTTCCTACAGAGAAGATAATCAATCTAAGTCTTGCCCATTGAATTTCGGAAAGTGACCAGGTGCTCTTCCCCTCTTCGGAAAACTCGAGTTAGCTATAACCAAATCAAAAGCTCTAGAAAAATCCAAAAGTGAAATTGTGACGACCCGACCCATCGTCTCGTGAGTTACCGCCCCGTTTCCCCCATTTCCTATTTCTTTATGCTTCATTATCAGTGTTGGGTGTGAACGAGTTGATTTGGATTGGTTTTAGTAGGAAATGAGACGCTTAGTCTCTTTAAGAAAGGTTTGTTTTGGAAAAGTCAATCGGACGTTGACTTATGAGTTAGAGGGCTCGGATGTGAATTCCGATGATTCGGTAGATTTGGGGGATGATTTGTGACTTAGGAGTGTGATCGGAAGTAATTTTGGAGGTCCGGTGTAGAATTAGGTTTGAATTGGCGAAGTTAGTATTTTGGCGAATTCCGATTGATAGGTGAGATTTTGATCCGAGAGTCAGAATGGAATTCCGAGAGTTGCTGTAGCTTCGTTAGGTGATTTG